GAGGAGGAACTGTTTCTTGGAGTAGCAAGAAACAAGGGTGTGTTGCTAGATATACGCAAGAAGCTGAATATATAGCTTGCAGTATGGCAACTACACATGCTGTCTGGATAAGACGGTTTTTGATTGATCTTGATCTCAATTTGTTAGAAGGACCTATTGATATTTATTGTGATAATCAAGCAGCAATTAGCTTAATCAATAGTGGCGCGAATAGCTCCAAAGGAAAACATATTTCAGTAGAGAGAATTGTGGATCGTTGAGAAAAATTGGGTTTGTTGAGAGAAATTCTCTCAGGAGCGGTTATGAGGGGGGTGGAGATAATGGGTTCTGGCTCCTATATAAAGAGGAGTAATCTCCTTGAGAAATACACAACAACAAAAGAAACAAAATCAAACCCTAACCTGTTACCGGAGCCCCCCTCAAAAATCTGTTCTTCCTTCTTCTCTGAGTTCAAACAATATTCAAGGGTGAAAACATGCCTATGATGTAAATTAAGGCTTAAGCAAGCAAATTATATAAGAACTCTAAAAAAACTCTATAACTCCTAAAGCAATTAAAAAAAGGAAAAATTTTGAAAATAGACCACTTTTGCTAAATATTTAGCAAAATCGACCATTTTGCTAAATATTTAGCAAAATCGACCTCTTTTTGGCTAACAGGCCAAAAAGAGGTCGATTTTGAAAAATGCTCACTGAAAACATACGGGACTGCTAGTCCCGTATGTTTTCAAGGGCACTAATCACTGATTAGTGCTCACAGAAAACATACGGGACTAGTAGTCCCGTATGTTTTCTGTGAGTGATTAGTGCTTGAAAACATACGGGACTACTAGTCCCGTACGTTTTCTGTGAGTGATTAGTGCTTGAAAACATACGGGACTAGTAGTCCCGTATGTTTTCAGTGGGCATTTTTCAAAATCGATCTCTTTTTGGTCTCTTGGCCAAAAAAAGGTCGACTTTGCTAAATATTTAGCAAAATGATCGATTTTGCTAAATATTTAGCAAAAGTGGTCTATTTTCAGAATTTTTTCTTACAAAAAATCATGAAAAGGTTACCTACACACTTTCAAAGGGATACGTAAGATACGCAGAATGATATTGATGCTTACTGAGTTTGATTGGAAGTAGGATTCTAGATTCCCTCTTGAGCTGGATTCGTATTCAGATAGGAGCGCATGGGGTCACGCGTCCAACAATATAGGAGTGCATGGGCCAGCTAAATTTGCATGGACCAAGCCTAATCCCCATCAAATTAGGATTTCTTGGGCCGAGTTTTCCTAGTACTTTTCCAAATCTATAATCAGATACTAAATTGGAAATTGGAAAATCTTTCAATTAAAAAATGAAAAAGAGATGGATACTAAATGTTTAACATGTTTCTTTTTGGCTGGAGATATTTTCTACAATTAACTCTGAGATCAAGAGGTAACTTCTATTTTTCTTATTTCGTTTTTTACTTCTTTTATGTGCGTACGTGAGGGTTCGAGCAAGAGAATCAAGAAAATTTTGAGATTTGTCCTGTGATGCCTTCCATCGTTAAGTGGATAAATTGCAGAAAAAGTTTCAAACTAATAAATTTTTGTGGAAAAATATTTATGTTACGCACGCTATCCCATGCTTAAGGTTTATGCAAAAAACTAATGATAAAACAGTGGTTGCGAAAAAAAATTACCGAAAGGGAAGATCCAATAGAATAGTATAATATTAAAGCGTACCCCTTTCTTTTATGCATCTGATGTGATATTCACTTTCTTCTATGTATTGTTTGGTTTCAGCTCAAAGTGGATATATAGTAGAAAGTATAATGAAGCGTACCCTTTTGACGATACAATCTTAAAACAATCATGAAAAAAGTTTTATGCTGGAATTAATTTTGTATACCATGTATTTGAAGAGCTAAAGGTTTCTAATGTGGATAAACTTCTGTCAAAGGATTATAAAATAATAATTTAGATGATGTTAATCAATAGTTGAGTCTCAGATGACAATACATGTTAGCTTTCAATTTGCACACATGAATTCTTTGAGGGTTAGGAGAGTAGTATATAGAATTATGAATGGTTTTAAGTTCTTTTATCCCAATATATTATGAATGGTTTTAGGTTCAGTGTCCAGTTCCCAATAATTTTCATCACTTGGTTTTTAGTAGAGTGACGCTTAACATCTAATACCAAGTGATGAAAATTAAATAATAATTGAAAAAAAAACGCTTTGATGCCTAAGACAAAGTCAATAGTGTCCCATCCTGTAAAGTAAAATGTAAATGTGTTTAAGCTCCTCTTTGTCTTTAGTATATATACCATTTGATATACTGTATAAGAAAGTATCAAATGGTCCTCAATTCATGACATTTAATATGCATCAAAGAGATGTCAATCGATAGATCATCAGACATTGAGATTAGTGTACGAATTCGATCGTTGACATCTGTTTAGTGCACATTAAATACCATATACCATCCCTACTAGATACATGCCAAAAAACCATAGATTACTCTTTGCTTTTCACCAACCCATCGTCGTCTTCCCCCTCTTCCGGCCCCCCCTAACCCCGTGTCTACATCACCTTCGTACGCATGCCTGGCTTCATCATCGGCAACACCATAAGTTTAGCCGTATCAGGACGAAAAATCAAAACAAGGGAAAATTGCTTCTAGCCCTCAAAACAATTACAAGTGTTCCCCCCAACCCCCAAACGATTACAATTTTCCCTTTTTTTCATCCCCTGTCACGTGAGAGGCGGAGCGAGTGCCCGAGGGTGAGATTATCATAGCATGATAATTGCAATGTCCGATTTCAGGCGGTATGTACCTCCACTAACCCTCACGTGTTTAAATGATGCGCACGCGGTGGTTTCCTGCCTCCTCTTCTGAGTATTTATAGTTTTTGCAAATTTTCAAATATGAGGTTTTCTCAACAAAAAAAAGAAAGTAAAACTTTTTCAAAAGAAAAAAAGAGAGACGCGTTTTCGTCAGTTGAGGGAAAAGTTTTTTGTGTTTAGTTGGAATAAACAAAGTTCTTGGGGGTGAATGGGAACCACCCAAAAAACTGTGGGTTTTGTGAAATTTTATCATTTTTTTCAGTTGTTTTACAAGGTGGGAGATCAATGTTTAATCTAATCATGCAAAATTTTAAGTTGGTCTGTACCTTATAGTTTGTTCTGGAGTCTGAAACTTTGGACAACAGTTTCACTTGAATAAAAAAATAGGCCGATTTTACTATTGTCATGTATGAGCATTTTTGTACATTAACAATTGTCTGAAACTGTGGGTTTTGTAGTATTATCTATTAATAAACCCTAAATAGCATTACTTTCTTTCAAGATTATATAAACAAATTTGGCCAAGCCAACGGCACGTGAGCACAGGTACCTCAGGCATTTCTGATATCTTAACACCAGCATAGCTAGCTGCTTATACGTACCGGTCCATCATCAACGGCTGCAAAACCATGACGCTCAAAAAACCCCTCCTCTCTTCTTCTTCATCTTCTTCTTCTTCATTATCATCATCAAGAACATCAAGAACCTCTGACATTGTAAGCTCTCTTCTTGTTCGACTCGAAGATCGCTCCTTTTTGAGGCAAGTATACAGGCTGTGTCACTTTCTTGCTGAGTTGGCTATGGTGTTTCTGTTTCTTTGCGTTTTCAAGCGTTTACCTTCAAGATTTTAGATGAAGGCTTGACGTTTTTATGGTCATGAGAATTTAAGATTTCTAATTGTGAAATTATGTAATTTTGGATGAAGACTTGCGGTTCCGGGCTCTATGCTCATGAATCAGGTAGCTATAGACAGGTTGATTCCTTTAGATTTTTAGATTGACATTAAGATGCTGGGGAGTTGTTTAGGACGTGGTTCTTTATTTATTTTTTCCCCTTCTTTTTTCTTTTTAATTTGTTTCGTGAGCCCTCTTGAAGCCCTTTTGATATGAGAGGAGCACCCTTTAAATGATGGAAATCAGCAGCTTGATGGTAAAAGTTTGTCTGTTTTGTTGATCTTTTTTAAACTAGAGCTACAATTTCCAGTTAAAAAAGATGATTTGTTCAGCTTTCCAAAATCAATAATTTGTGGGGTAGTTTTGTAAATATTAAGATTTAGGAGGGTAGCTTCATAAATCTCGAAAATCGATGATTCGTGCAATAGTATTGTAAACATGTAGATTTAGGAGGATAGCTTCATAGATACAAATGGTTTAAGGAGCATTATACAAATAGCCCATCTAAATTTCCGGGGGTACACTATTTGTTATAAGTGCAAGTATGGATTTGGTTGGCTGGCATACTTTCTTTAAATAAAAAGGATTAGATTGCAATTAAACAGCAACAGTGTATTCTTTAATTAATACCCCACTTTGTACGAATTACCTTATATTAACATTTTTCGAAGAACAAGAACCAGAATTCTCGATTACGTCCAACCTGCAAGATCCCCCTATGACAAGGGAGCTGTTTGGGATGCCCACGTCACAAACTGCACAATGACGCTAAATGGACAAATAAGAGCCCAAAATCTGAGCCACCAAACATGGAAGAGATTGCAGCAACATAACGTGCTAGGAAAACACTACAGGCACACCCTCAACCAAACCTTAATGCACACCCCCTCTCTCACCTACAGTACACAAGACACCGTGCACTGTAGCTGAGAGAGGGAGTGTGCCCCAAGATGTGGTTGGGGGTGTGCCTGTAGTGTTATTGGAGCAACAACAGCTGATGTCGAGAACTCCGATAACAAGAGCGAGCATAGAGCCTCCTCAGCGTACCCCCCCCCCCCCAAGATCAGAAGGATTTATACACCTCCAGGAGCGCCCCCGCCACCGCGTATGATTTTGTTAGTCCAGCTATTCAGCAAAGGCCAACCGAAAGAAATTATGATGGGAATCAAAATGAAGACGATGTTGCCTACAGAGAACTGGAGATGGTGCTCAGATTCAAGACGCCAATGCTTCTCATCATGGGTTTGATGAGGACCAACAGGCTCCGTAGCGCACAAGGTAATTTAGATACTAGTTTCAGAAACCTCTTCATTCTCTCTTTAAAAAAAAATAGAAACAAACTGGAACCATATTACACTGAGCTAAGGCTTAGCATCACATCTGGGCTTTTTACCAGATAAAATTGTCAAGAATAATTTACTATTTGTGCTCCTTCGATAATACTGTATGCCAATAAAACTGGTAAAATTTGCAATGGCAAAACCCTCAGCAAGTTTACAGCTAGCTCACCATCCATCTGAATCTACAAAAACGGCTTTATATCCACTTGAAAACAGTGTCAAGAAGGAAAAATGTGAAGAAACAAACCTCAACAAAGGCTCAGTTACGATGCCCCACCCCAAAGTGAAACCTTCGAGCATGTCTATCATTCAAGGCATATTCTAGCCTGAGAGGGCCCAGTGGTGAGTCTATGCGTATACCTAACCCATATCCATAACCTGATCCTGGCTTCCCTCGAGCTCCAGCAGGATCACCTGGTACCAGAAACAATATGACTCACTTCTAAAGAAAATACCGTGAGCGCTTCAAATTTTAAATACATTAACATAAAGAAAATTGAAATGCATAAAGCATGCAACAGAGAGGAGAAAGAATAATACAGATAGACTCAATTCAGGTTAATAATGTGATGGATCCTTTCCCCATGTAAGCTCTTAACTTTTGAGGAAAGAGAGTACAGCAAAAACAAAGGATAAATTATCTGCATATTAAGGCATACCAGGTACAGTTGCACCTGATCCGAGATCACTTCCATAATCAGCAAATAGAACACCTTCTACTGGTCCATACTGCAAAAGAGGAAAAAAAAAGGAAAATAAATCAGAAAAGAGCAATATTCCTTCTGCTAACCAAATATAACTATCATCTGCTGCAGAATTTAATTGCAAAAAATAACAAATGCTAATGTTCAGACTTGAATCACGGTGACAAGACTCAAGATACAAAATTTTCACACATAACAAAATTGTGTTTATTTGCTTCCATAAAAGTCTCAAGTACCAAAATCATTGGATAACTGGATGTGGATAAAAGGTTGTCTTAAGCTGAAATTGAAGAAATTTAACTTTTCTGCATGTTTATGACTTGCATTGCATTTTTTTTGGGTGAATAAATTTTCTACATTAACATTCTAGTTAACAAAATAAGGAAAAAAGATATATGCAAAAATGGAATATTTTTAAATTTAAAAAGAAAAAGTTAACGCCCTACCAAGGGAAATGAAAGTTCCCCACTGCCAACAGCGTATGAACGGCCAGAACCCACAGCACCTTCTTCATAGCCTCTAACACTGTTGGTCCCACCAATTGCAAACGCTTCGTGGGGAGGAAACCTTCCCGCCACGTGACCACCAGATAAGCTACATGAGGGGGAAAAACACAGATAAATAGAATGTACATTAAAAGAAGATAGTACCTTATTCAAATTGTTTAAAAAAGCAAACATGTGACAGGTACAAATAAGACATCTGCAAGAACATTCAGTGGGATGCAAAGTGAAGACCTCAATTAAGTAAATACTTGAAACTTTCAATAACATCAAAATTCACATAACATTTACGTTTTTGCTTACCTCAATTTTTTTAGCTTTAGGATCTGTTTTCTCTTGGTAATGGCACAATTAAGACTAAGATTGGGGAACTAACTTCGCATAGAAAAACATAAAACTTAGTCATGGATTTTCTTAGGTAAATGAATGAGATGGGCATAGTTTACAACATAATTTTTTCAAAGCAACTCGCCAGCAGTCAGCAGATCCTCCCTTTTTTCACCTTCGTTGCCCCAGTGTCAGACTAAGATTGTGAAACTAGTTGCAGAGAAAGAAACTAGTAACATCATACTTATTCATGGGCATTCTTAGGCAAATGAATGTGATGAAAATGGTGTATTACTTAACGTTTTCAAAGCAACTCATCAACCTATACTCCCCCTTTTCACCTTCACTTAAAGATGAAAGCAATTTTCAGAGCAAGGAAGCACCCAGAAAACTTATAATATACTAAGGGAGGTACTAGTTTCAGAATGGTCGTTTCAGCCATTGCCAGCTTGACAGGCGACACCATCCCCGAGCTATTTGACAAACAAGACCATTGTCCCAAAGGAAAGAAGTTAATGCTTTCTCCAGTTAGAATTTATTACATTTAATCAATATGACTCCGAATATCTTTCCTGGTAAGATAGCTTCTCAAATAGAATAGTGATTACGGCTTTCGTTCCCAGTAAAATTTGTGATGCTCATAATTTTATTTCTACAATGGATTACAGCATGTTGAAGAAGAAAAATATGTTATTGCACTTAAAGAACTTTCGAGATGAACCGAAAGATTGTGACAGATACTAACACAAAAATGATTATATCCTATTATGCATATTTTCGAATGCTAGAAAATGGAAACGCTGCTCATGCCAACAGAGTATGACAGGATACATTACCTAAATAGCAGTCGAGCAGGACCAACTTCTACTCCCTGCCGGGCACGAGCAGTTGCTCTGTTAAAACAGAGCCACTCAGGTAAAACAGGAAGTCCTTGCTCCACATTGAAGGCAAGCTGCAATATAGAGGTCGCATAGTAAATGAGACAGGAACCAGTGGATTATGTACTCTTTAATGAATTACATTAAAAAAGGAGGAGCAAAATAACTTGCCATTGAGGCCCCATGATCGCCAGAACCAGTATATATGCTTTCAAGTTTGGCAATTAGCATGTCATCATGAGTATTGCCACTGCAACATACACAAACAGAACCAAACTTATCAAAATTGAATCTAGAAATTTGAACAAAGACATAAGGGAAAGAAACATATAAAAGCAATATCTGATCTTAGAAACAATAATTGAATCTAGAAATCTCAACAAAGAAATAAAAGGGGAAAGAAAATATATAAGCAATATCTGATCTCAGAAATGATATTGATAATACACCTTGCAGTTAAAGGGCTGTTGTAGAAATCTCTGATGATTGGAGCTCCACCGTCATCATGAGCACCAGCACGCTAAGAAAATCACTCCATAAATTTGAAGTATTCCAAGAAATAGAATGCAGCAAAAACAATGAGGAAATAGGGAAATAAGCACAGGTTTTACCACATGGTCCAAAGCAATAATGTAACCCGAGAAAATGCAGGATTTAGGATAAAAGTAACTGGAAGAACGATCATACCATGAAAAAAGTCACACTAAAGGATCAAGTCAGCTATAGAACACTACCATAATAACCGATATTAAAAAAATGAGAGGATCTTAAACTTGAATGTGGAAGCTACCAATAGAGTAAAAATATCACTAAGCACTCTTCTTTTTCCAAGTTTGGATGAGGCAGTTATAGATACTTTCGTAAAGAAGCTGTAAAAATTAGAGGAGCAGATAAAAGAGGTATATAAGAGCCAGTAAGCCACAGACATTGTCAAGGTGAAAGAATAACGAACAAATTCAGAATAAGTAAGAGTAACGAACAAAGAACAGCAACCACAAGTGAGTTGAAATTCGGCCACCTCACAGCATTTGTCATAAAACAGAACCCTATCCGTGTCAGTTGGTAGTATAGAAAACTCAGTTGTTCTCTCTTAATACCTCAGATAAGTGACTCCAGATATACCAGAATACACAAACTTGTCTTCCGTAAAAGTTAAAATGTAAGAATACCCAAAATGATGTTGTTTTGAGTATATTTGCCCACGGGTCCAATGGTCACAAAAATTAAAGTTTTTTTCAGAAATAAAACAAATCGTATCACTAGATCGATGAGTAAATGAACCGCAAACCACATGTTTTTGATACAACATATACTAGACCACAAAGATTACAAGATACGGTTAGACCATGAAGTAAGAGGAGCAGCAGCAGCAGGAGAGAAGGGGGTGAAGATTAGAGTTTAAGATATGTAGCAGGAGAAAGCTCCTCCTATGGCCACAAAACTCTGGTACACGATACATATACAAATTATACACTCATATGCTTCACTGCCACAGAGGCAAAAGCATATGGGCAGTAAATGAGGCTTAACTCCAAACGAACCTATTTTAAACAAGGGGAAAATGAACAAAACAAAGAGTTCATTTCATGTGACACTACTCATTGCTGCTATTCGCTCAAGCCCTATTACATTTTGTGCACTGAAATATGAACCCTTCATAATAGTTACCAATCAGATGTTGATTACCATAACCATGACCTCTTCATGTACAGCAAATTCCAAATACTTGAGGATCAAACATATGACATCAACTCGTGCATCCATGAGTCACTGACAAAAGAAAAGTGCTCGCTTTCACCATAACAATAAATATGCAAGTTTTAGACAACTTGTTCTGATATATATCAGACGGGTTAAGAGCTCAAATCCCATGCAAACTACACAGTTAACTGGGAACTAAAGGAGAAACAAAATAGAAACTGTGCAAGTATGTAAATGATGCTATAAGAAGGCCTGAAACTGGAAAACAATCACGGAATATCATACCTGAAATATGAGCCCAGCAGTTCCATTCCATTTTGGCCTGAAAGGTCGACTGAATTCAATTCCACCTGAGACCCGCCTAATTGTTACACCGCCTCCTTGATTTCCATGCACAAGTGTTCCTGGAGTCTTTGAATTCTGGTACAAGAAGAAAATAAAGAATAAAAAAACAAACATTAACACAAATGTCACATCAAGGAATTCACTGTCTTCTCTGAATTTTGACCACCTGAATCATAATTGATCTGGATGTCCTTTTATTATCTCCTTGAATCCATGGATCAATATAATTTATTCGAAAAAGGGAATCAACTTGGCCCCTTTCTACTGAAAGATTAAGTTTTTGATTTCTCCCAAAAACATTCCTATGAGAATATGTAAAGCTGCAAATAAATATAAAACATGAGTTAAGCATACAATGAATTTCTGATGTATGTACGTATGTATTTGTGCGTGCGTGTAGGAAGGGGAGCAAGGAACTCGCACCACAATTGACATCAAATCAGTTTTACTGTTACTACAGTTTCTAGTAGGCAAGGACAGACACTTTAATAGTAAGCACTTGAAGGGAAAGATTTTGGCACACACTTATTAGCAATTTACATATCTCTAGAGCTTTTGGGCCAAAATGCTGCTATTTATCATTATCCTAAGGTTTTTGGCCTACATATGGCCTTCCTTAGACTTGAGTAACTCATTGTTAATAGCTCTTAAGTGGACACAATCCCGTTCTGACATGATTTGCATACAAAGGAAACTGAAATAGAAAGGTTTATGACAGAAGACTTCTTTATCTTCAAGATTAAGGTTTTTACAGACTATTGCATCCCACGACTTATTAAAAATAACTTATCACATGAAAAGGAATAACATCAAGTAAGCAACCCAAACACTGCTGTGACTCTAGCAATCAAAACAAATTGAATTTCAGTATCACTTCCTCAGAAATCCTAGCACCAAAAAAGGATTCCACTCTGATTTTGAATAGTTCCTCGTTTCAGGATTTGAAAGAAAAAACATAAGCTAAACACGCAATAGGAGAAATTAATATCACTGTATGAAGGAGAAAGTGTTAACCTTTGGGTTAATGCAGGTTTTTCTTCATGTATGCAAAAGAGAATTGAGGTGATCTTTTATTTCTTTTATTTTTTATTTTTTTTTGGGTCCATAGCATCCTAACGTGTTAAGTCTATTCATTCTTAGGTTACACTCCTAACTTTCTAGCAGTAGAAGAAACATCTCTAAAAACAAGTACATTATAGATTTCCTTATTCTCCCCAGAGCACATGAAGTACCACCACAACAGTAGGTTTTTCTCAATGGCGGAGACAGAAAAATTCATAATTGTGGTGTCTATATATATATATATATATATATATATGGAGAACCTTGGTACCAAGTTCTTTCATTGAACTTGGTAGTGATGTGGAGAAATCTGGCTCCTACATCACTCCTCGAAAATAGAGCATCTATTTTGGAGTAGGTGAAAAGTGATTGAGGCTCTATTTTCGAGGCGTGATATAGGGGTCAGATCTCTCCACATCACTACCAAGTTCAATGGAGAAACTTGGTACCAATGTTCTCTCTCTCTCTCTCTCTCTCTCTCTCTCTCTCTCTCTCTCTCTCTCTCTATATATATATATATATATATATAGAGAGAGAGAGAGAGAGACGGTATTAAGATATATAACTAAATATAATTACAATTGACATGTACATGTCTCCACGTTTTTAAATTGTTTCATAATAGCCTTATTTGAAATGCCACTAAATACATTTTCAATGGGAACCTCTTTTACTTTTTAAAAGTTTGATGTCAGCTCTTTGATATGTGGTGATTTGGGTCATTTAAGTTCATGGGTCCTAGGGTCACTTTATCTTTAGATTTCGCCGGTTAAGGGTTGATTGGTCACTACCCAATACTCAAATAATTAAGAGTGTCGCTTTACATCATAAGCTCACATATACTTATTTGATTGTATGATTTAGGGTGGCGTCACTTGACACCACCCTCTACACACTAGCTCCACCCCTGGTTCTGTCGCCCTGATGTCAACCTCCAAGTTTTGGTGTCAAATTCCTTGCTGAGGAAACTATGGACAACAAGGGGATCCCACAAACAACCTCGTCAACGGGTGATAGGGATCCTACCAACATGGTATGCAGTCTATAGGGATCCTACCAACATGGTATGCAGTCTATGCTCATGCAACCAGGGTACACGGTGAATCATTAATCACAAGTGATATGTGATGCTACATGGTTTTAGGAATTCAGAAAAAAAAATTAATTACAGAATGAATAAAAGTCAATGTGTGTCAGAAAAAGATCATTTATGAAAAAAATACTCAGATTTTAGGCACAGAAACAAACAAAACAGGATATTTCTACTGACCTTCCAATGAGTCCTGAGAGAGGGCCGTTTGCTATCCTGCATGTTGTGCACCAATTGATTAGCACAATAACAAGAACGAACCTAACAAGCTAAAAAGAAAGGTAGCTGATGTATCAAACATAAATGCTTTCCTTGTCAACACTTACCCACTGGAAATACCACCCCCAGCAGAGAAACCACCGCTAGGGCGTTCGACAAGATTCATCACGAGATCTACCTTACCAGTATCTGCAAAATCTCGTTCTAAATATTATTACTGCTTAATAAAATAGCATATAGGGCAGCATCTAGTAAGCTATTTATTCTGGAATAGAATAAAACTATAATGACAACTTGCAGTATCAGTAAAACTGGCAAGCGGAATCGAATTGATACTGTATGCCAGTGCTTTGAATTATACCCTAGGGTCCAAATAATCAAGTTGGCTCCGTAGAACCAAGTATAAACAAAATGTTGACTACACAACCTGAACACCTCTGCATCCGCCTAGCGTAAATAAATAAATAGTTTAGGAACTGTCTTTTGTAGTGACTGACCCTGTTAAGTTATCATCAGTGTTGGTTTTTATGAAGTTCTACCACTAACGTGTTCTTTGCTATCTGCAGAAAGCCAACATATTCAGTATTTGATTACAATAACAAATAAATTTTGAGTGCCGTTTGGTCTTCAAGACTTCAACATATGTCATTTCTTTCTTCTAACTTTATTCCACTTTTCATATACCAGATAACATCATGATTTATCCATCTGCATATGATTAGTATATAATCACAAGCTGGGGAGAGCTTGTGGAATTCTAACTATTGGGTTTACAGAATCTAGTTCTTGGAAAATTAAATTGCAACAGAATATTCTGAATTTTGAAATAAAACTGGATATTGATTCAAATTCTTATTACTGACCCTGTAAAAGTATCCTACTTCTGAACATGAAAAGAAACAAGATAGTGTATCAAGAAATAATGGCATAATCTGATCAACTTTCAGAGCAAATCCAGATAACTGAATTCATCCACAAGAGGATTGTATAAACACGATACATAAACACGATGCAAAACAAAACATCAATGAAGTTCCTTACTTATAAGGTTATGTCATAGTCCACTCATGTCAAGACACTGATAAACAAAAGAAAATTTTTGGACTATATTGGATACATTCCGTGCTTGTGATGTGCATCCCCTATAAGGAAGAGAGTGGTGTCATCCAACTTATTCATTCATATCATCAACAAACATCAAATTTCATGAACCCGTATCAATTAAATTAATCTTTCAGACTGTTACGAAAGAAGTATGATAAAAGAACCTGCCGATACAAACAAATATTAAGAACTATGTAGGTTAGCTAGGAAAACAAAAGAAACAGGAAAATGAAACTCGCCTCCAGCAGGCTGTGGAATAATGGACACATCCTCCATAATACCCATAGTTAAAATTGTTTCCACGTCTCTTTTACCTTGCAGCAAACTGTAAACCTACACATAATCGTTTTAGCTTAGAAAAACTTAATTAAGACGCTGACAATAGCACAACCAAAAAATTGACTTATGAAGATTTATCAAAAGTACTCTTCACTCTTGCAAGACAAGCAAAACTGGATGTTATAGTATTTCAAAACTAATACTAGCATGTAACCATCAGTGAAATTTCCCTAGACAGTAGCAGATATACATATATATTTCTAATAAAAAAGAACAAGTGAAAAAATTCAAAAGGATCATTCTAATGTTGGGAGGGAATGTGTCGTGTGCACGCGTGTGAGGGAGAAGGAGAGGGGAGGGAGAGGGACGGAGGGGTGGGGCATTTTTCTAGGGTTGGCTCTGTTTAGGCTATTAGTTGACTCGAGGGTGCATAATCACATGCACCTAGTAACTTCACAGAATGAATCACATAAGATTAACAGGCTTTAAAATAACCTACCCTCTCACCTTTTCAAACTATAAGATGCTTTCTTCGTAGACAAAGGAACAACCAGAACAGCTATGATCATGCCTTTAAAACCAAAAAAACATTTTTGTCTGCTGGCCCCACAGGCCGAAAAACACATGCATAGGGGTGCCAAACGGTTCGGATTTATCCAAACCGATCCACATCCGTATCCGAACGGATGCGGATACGGTAAGCTTTTTTTAAAACCGGATAGATACGGTTTCGGATATGGATCTGGTTTCGGATTTTTTTTCGGATACAGATATGAGGGTTGTGGATATGAGGGTTGTGGATACGGATATCCGCAATTTAATAAACATAAAAGACTCGGGTTGTATCCAAAGTTGTAAACCCATAACCGCTAACCCAAAACCCAACTATAAAACTAAGTTAGAAAACCCGAGCCGCCACTTATTCAACTCCAACCTCCCACAATCCCACTCAATTCCACAACCGACAGTCCCGACTCCAGAGTTCGTCGGCGTCGGCGTCACAGCCGGCCGAGTTCGCCTAGCGAAGTTGCAAACCCGCCGGCATCGTTCGTCCCGACTCTCGAGGTCGCCTCGGCCAGCCCGTGTCGTCACCTAGTCAGATCCCGCTTCGGTCAGTTCGCCTGTCGTCGTCAGATCTTTTTTGTAGTAAGATAACTACAGTAACTTTATCTCTCCTGCTACTAATCCATATGATAATGTTGCCTTTTCCTTTTAAGTGCTATTTTTGTTGTTAATTTGCTCCTTTTTGGTCATGTAGCAATGTAGCATATACCATTTGCTAATCCATGGCTTATAAAGTTCCTCTGAGCATGTTGCTAAGGCTGCATTGAATGTTAAATTGCTCTTTAGTATCATAGGTCTTGATGAGGTTAGAACTAGAACTGTGAGGTGAGAGACAATAGTGAAGACCAGTTTTATAGGCATTTAATTAAGGATTTTGCCAAGAAAGTTTGGTTTGTATTTGGCATTTTATTAGGGCTTGTATGTAGGATGAGAAGGAATGTACACAAAATGATTCCATAATGACTTCGCCCTTTCAGACTTGTATTATATTTTTATCATTTGCGACCACATACATTTATGCAAGGAGAAGCCTACAACCACATACATTTTTTTATCATTTGCGACCACATACATTTATGCAAGGAGAAGCCTACAACCACATACATTTACCCATTTGGTTGTAATTTACACATACATTTATGCAAGGAGAAGCCTACAACCACATACATTTACCCATTTGGTTGTAATTTATACATAGGTGTACTAATTCATATCTGATTCATATCCATATGTCGAATATCCATTTCATATCCGTGATCATACCCGATCCGATTCTCAAATATCTGAACCGTATCCGTTTCCGATAAGTGCGGATATGGTGAAGTTTTTTTCTTACCGAAGGTAATCCGTATCCGTATCCGTTTATAAAAAGCGGATATAGATATGGTAAGTGTCATATCTGAACCGTATCCGCTCCGATAACACCCCTACATATGCAGGTCCTTAAGCAATGAAATAATTATAAGCTGACCGTCCAACAAAATAAGCCTTTTTCTTTAAAATACAAAAAGGAAATAAAAAAGGAAAATAACAAAGAAAATATTCATTTGAATGTTTCTAGCAATTTAATTGTGAGATGAGAATATATATATATATATAGCAACTTGATGACAAGAAAATAGAAAAGGAATGGTTTGATCACCAACCTGTCCCTTCTTTGTTGTGAGTTGTCTAAGTATAGTCTCCGGCTTCGTCTTCCCCACCGTTGGTTCACCACTGTATAAAGTAAAAGATTAATATAATATCATGGTATATATCAAGGTTTATAGATGCTATATCAACTTGGAAAGCATAGGTGCAAATCAGGGATTTGGTTCTTACGTTTTTCTGTCAAGGAAACGTAGTGTTATGTTATTAACCTCAGCTTCAGCAACTTGCAGTCTAAGGATTCCGCCAGAAAGGATCTCAATGTCTGAAACCTAAAGAACAATTGCATATAATTTATACAGTTCAAATAATGCCAGCATTGAGAAAACAAGAAGTGGATTCACAAGCCAATATAAAAATGGAGATGAGGCACCAACCAAACCAAATAGCCCACGGTCAGCATACCACCCATTGATAGATTTGATCACCTCGTCCAAATGTCGTATATTTACTATTTTTCCTGCATTACTTGACGCCAAAAACTTGATTCAATAACAATCTGACATTGACGCCCTTTAACAAATCACATGTTCTCTTCAATTCCTTTTTAGCTTGTTTTATCAGAATGACTTAAACTCCTTTTTCACCACACTAAAGAGACACATTAAAGGCCAATGCTGAATAGGGAACATTAGCTAGTCAAGCCAATGAAAGAAATGATTTGACACGGTCTCAATATGAGATATAAAACAAATGGTGAAAAGCAGGAAGATAATGCTAAGCTCAAGAGCCACATAAGTAACAAGTCATTGAATAGCAAAGGTTTCATTTCTGAATAATCAACTCTGTTAAGCACTAATGTCCTATGACGACATGACGTGACAGACATACATAGCGAACACGATATTTTTGTTGTGTCGTTATCATCTTGCAAGTGTATGTGATGAATATGTTGTCTATAGAGGTGTTGCATCATGTCTTTCCCACGTTGGCATGTCCATGCTTCTTAGAATGCACTTGCTGGCTTAATGGGCGTCACTTCAGGAGTTTTCCTCCTAATTGACTGTCAATGCCTCAATGGTGACATAATAGGGTGCTTGGGTAAATAAAAATAAGCTGTTTGGGGTGTCTAAGGCATAAAACTCACATAATTAAAAGGATGAGAGCTCCTTGATGAACTTACCATATCGATCACCAAATGCATTCTCCAAAAAGTTTGCTGGAAGTACACTTGCTCCCTCACATATCAACCCTTGGAACTCTTGATTAGGTTCTACCTTGTACCATCACAAGCCAATCAGAAAGTTATGTTGTGCTGTACCCTTGGAACTCTTGATTAGGTTCTACCTTGTACCATCACAAGCCAATCAGAAAGTTATGTTGTGCTGTATTAAAATAATTGTTGAAAAGGTTATGCACATCTCAAAAATGATATCATGATAAACAAAATACGTGAAAGAAAAAAGTCAAAGCAATATAGAATATCATAATAGATTGGCAATACATGCTCGATAAGTCAATTGAAAAGATCTAGGGTTTGCATATCGTTAATATGAACAATGAAACCCTGTAAGATGCTTACAAAGTAACTAAATAACCAGGAGTAAGTGTCCTTAAGGTCACGATCACACTAGACTATGGTATTTGCTAAAGAGTTTGTGAACTACAGTATCGTTATTGACTTATTGTTCGATGTATCGAGTATTTTAAACAAGATTTAGGCTTAGCAAGTGGCAGTGATATGAAGTCTCGGGCCATTGAACCAGGTATTGTGATATCTATCAAATGGCCACAAAAGATGTTCATTTTGATTATGGACGCAAGACATAGGCGCCAGCGTGTAGCAAAATATTTCATGCCCATAGCCAGCCCATATGAAGATTTTTCTGTGGAGAAGCACAGTGGCCATAGCGAGAACTTGGCTACTAAATTTAATATCAGATTGAAAATTCAGACTAAATCCTCAGCAATTCTAACTTGAGAATTGAAATGTAACAAACCAATTTAAAGACCATGATCAACCAGCTAGATGTGAAAGGTGACACCTACGTATATATCTTTAGTACTCTCTTGTTGGAGTTTAACTCTGGTTCAATTAAGGTAGAACACAGCTGCTCGGGTCACAAATTTAACATGTTATCTGTCTAACATGCAGGTCAGTCCAAGCTGGGTCAGCTACAAACCCAGCCAACTTGCATCCTTCATGCAAGTAACTAAAAATCTCAATTTACTAACTAATACATATTCACATCCATAAACATTTTTCAAACTGTCATTTCCCACAACTCAAAGTACATCTGGTAGTCAATGTTTCAAAACTAAATAGAAGAATAATACCTGAAACACCAATCTGATTCCATCCCTAGTGTCAACAGCAACCGGCATACATGACGAAAACAACCCGCTCTGCACAATCCTATGCACATCCTCCTGCACCTCCTTCACCGTCAAGGCCGAGTTCGGCCTGCAAGCTTTAATCGTCGAGGCCGCCACATCCTCAAGATCTTTCCTCTCCATAACCTCCCCATCCTTGTTCCTTATCAGAACCTCACTGATCAAAACCCTCTCTTCGTCGTCCTCCCTCTTCCTAGCAATGGCCAGTGATGATGAGCACAGAATAGAGCTAGGCCCCCGCTTGAAGAGGTTGATAATGGAATCTTTGGCTCTCTGGAGGTGAGAGGATAGATTTTGATGGGCAAAGGGGAGGGACGAAGGGAAAGGGTTAGGGAATTGGGGTTTAGGGATTTCGATTGAGGAGGAGGTGAATTCGATTTCTAGGGTTTTATTAGGGTTTTCCGAGGTTTTTGAGGTGTCGATTTGAAGTCCTCTCGCGAGGTTTTTGACGGAATCCTGAGCTCTCTGGAGATGAAATGAGAGGTTTTGGTGGGCAAAAGGGAGGAAAGAAGGGAAGGGGTTAGGGTTTTGAGACATCTCTAGGGTTTTCCTAGGGCTTCTCGAGGGTTTTGCGAGGCTTTTGATGGATTCGCGAGCTCTTAGAAGATGAAAGGAGGGATTTTGGTGGCGCGAAATGGGAGAAAGTAGCGGAAAGGCGTTACGCGGTTCTTGAGAATCGCTTTGCTGCTGGAGGAGATGTCGGCCATTGATGGATCTTGGGGAAGAAAAGCTAGCGTTCGATGACGAGAGAGCTAGGGTTCTCCGCCATCGACGACGGTGAGTTGAGGTTTTGTGCTCAGAGTTGGGAGCAGGGGTTTTCCGCCATTAACGGGGCTGGTTAGTGGGTCGGATCGGTTGCGGGTATAAACTATTGACCCGATTTTAAGAGTTGTGGGCTCTACTGACGCATAGGGGTGGAAATGAACCAAATAATTAATAAATGGTTCGATAATTGTTCGAATAACTATTCGATCATATTCGATTCGGTAGTTCATTTACCACTAAACAAATATTTTTTAGTATTCGGGTTTACTAAAGAATAGAATTTAACCAGATGTATATTCGATTCGTTTATCTATTAAATATTCGCTTAAAATTTGATCACAACTTATTATTTGTATTATTACACATATGATGTTAAATTTTTAACTCGTTTACCATTGTTACTTAAGTTTTATGTACTGATTTTAAGACTTAAATAATCTTAAATCCATTTTCTAATTAAAATTTTGATTAAAATATATATACATCATATATTATAAAGGAATAATTTTTATTTATGAATTTTAATACTATTTGGAAATCAAATTCTTTAGCGGAATAAATATAGTTTGATATTCGATAAGTATTTGTGAATATTCATGAATATTTATCAAATACCAAGTATTCGAGTTCGAATTCGAAAAACTAGATATGTGAATATTAGAGTCCACATTCGAATTCGATAATTTTAAACAAATACAAATACGAACACCTTAGCATTCGATTCGATTCGATCGTTTACCACCCCTACTGACGCACAAGAGGTCAAACGTTTAAAACCCCTTTGACACGCAAGAACCCCTTGGTCCCTTGGACTTTGGTCCGGAGTGGATTTTGGAAATTTGAAATGATTTTACATGAAAATGGTAATTATTGGAAATGCCATAAAATATCTCAAGTGATCTTTTTTGCAAATATTGAAGGTGGAGATTTATTTTGGAGGCAAATTTCCCTCCAAATTCATGTGACTAGGAGAAGAAATCTCCTCGATTTTATTTAACTGGTTTTATACATGCAATGCACATGATTAAATATTATGATTAAGTATTTTTTGCTAACTTTCTAACTAAAATTTATTCATTTGTTCCACTTTAATAGTTTATGCTCACTTTTATTTCTAAACTTTAATATTACGAATTTTTTTTTAATGTTTGTTTAAATGAGCTACACCCAATTTAAATTTTCATGTTTATATTTGAATTGATAGAAAAAATATATATAATTTGAAGCTAATTTGAATTATCATATTATTTTGACTGACATGAAACTAAACTTCACTTGAGAAAGAATAGTGTTGCAAAAGTAAAAAAATATTGAAATAGTGTTATACAAGGAAGGTGAATATTTAAAACCAATAAGGCAAAATAATTGGTTAAAATTATGCTAAAACGATACAAAAGAGAATATAAAGTTTGTTCCTAATCATTGATAGTCTTCATAAAAAATTATAAATTAAATATTAATACTAACTCTAGTATACTTTCATATGATAAAAATATGTGCACAATCATATAAAAGTACTTAAAAAAGCTCATGAAACTCCCTTCTAAAAATTCCTCAAGTCGCTCAAAATAATTAAACTATTCTATTAAATATTCAGAAATATTATTTTTTATTTCTTCTATTTTATTTTTTTATTGAGCTAAGATCAATCCTTGATCACCTTTATCTTTTTTTTGGGCAATTTTACAGCAGTGTCTTCATCATCTACTCGATTGTGACATCAGGCTAGAGTTGTATTTTTTGTGCTATTATTTTTTTTGGGCTCGTTAATCTTTTATCTTGTCGTTTAGCTTCACAAAGAAGTTAAGGGCCTGTTTGGTTATTTTCTAAAAAACCAAGAAATAGAAATGAAAATCAAGAAAACTAAAAAAGTACAATTTCATCCATTTTAATCCTAAAACCCACCCACAATATCTAATAAAATATTATTTTTATCCAACAACTCATCTACCACATCTAATAAAATATTATTTTCATCTAATAACCCATCCACCATATCCACCATATCTAATAAAATATTATTTTTATCTGCAACATCACTCAACTCATCTCAGCTCATTATTTCAAATTACTCACATCATCCAATAAGATGGTGACAACTTATCTCATCTAATTAACATCTCATTTCCACACATTTTCTCTCAAAAAGCTAGGAAAACATTTTACTTAAGTGTGGGTCACATCATCCAATAATATAATGACAACTCATCTCATCTCATTTATTTTCTTATTTTTAAGAATGAACCAAACAAAAGAAAACAACATATTACAAGAAATAGGTTTCTCATAATTCATTTCCTTATTTTTTTCTCCAACTAAACAACATCAAAACATGTTCTCTTAAAAAATCACTCACATCATCCTATAATAAGGTGACAACTCATCTCATCTCATCTCTATTTCTTTGATTTTCTTTTTTTTTAGCAAACCAAACACTCCCAAAACAATTCTTCTTAGAAATAATTTTCCATTTCTTTGATTTCCCACTTTTTTTAGGCAAACAAACAGACCCTAAATGTATTTCTAATATTTAACACAAACTTCTTGAAATACATACTTTGAGTTTTTTTTTCAATGATAATAAATATTAATTTCATATATATCAAATTCTTTGTGTTCCTAATTTATTACTTAAATAATATTAGGAGCTACATCTTTTTCTCTACAATGAATTCTTATGATGTGCATCCAATAAAAGTTTCTGTTATGTTAATAATATTATATTTTGCTCTATTCCTGTTATTTTTTACAAAGATCTAAACTAAATACCTTATTTTTTTATTGGCAATTTGTTTTATACTATAATATTAATATTTAATTTTTTTAGTATTTCAAGAACAAAGTATAAAATTTATGAATGCTTATTAATTTTTTTCTTATATTGTCCATGGAGAACTCTTTAATGTAACTTAGTTGGTGCTTCTTTAATAGACATGCCTTATGTTAATGCCAATTCAAATAATTCATGGACGTTTTTTGAAGGATATTTCTGAATATTTTTGATAGTTGCTCTATACGTAATTCATTGTATTTTTTTACCCTATAGATATTATTAACATCAAAGATTAATATTTCTAAATTATAATCAATTAATTCTAAGCTATTATATTATAGTCTTTTATTATTTTTATGAATTTAAACATCTATCAATTAATGTCACTAATGTGTTTTGCTGCTCCAAATTATTACTAAAATGTTATGCAGTTAATTTAATTTATATGGTGTCAATGATTTTTAAGCTATTTTTTTAATTTTATTCCTTAACCGGATATTTTTAATCAATTCTTATTATTTTTTTTTATCATTATCAACTTAGACTATCTTTAGATGTTAAAAAGGGATAGTAAACCCTAAATTAAAAATTATATATATATATATAAATGCCTAACAATTATACTTTTCTTTGCCAAATTTTAAATTTTCTTTTTTTTTGTGGTTTTGAACTTTGATGGTGTGATTTGTAATTTTTTAAAACTTTGAAAGCATTTTTAAAAAAATTACTTTCAAGTTTGGTAGTTGTAACTTCTATGTTTCATGTGTCGGTGATAATTATTAAATGGCACAATATTTCTTACAACTCAGAAATTTTTAGGTTGTTTTTTGTAATTGTTAAAACAGTAGATTATTTTTTGAATATTTTAAATTTTAGCGGTCTACCAATAGTTTCCAGATTTGATGTGTGCTTGTTATAAATTTTAAAAATTTAGAGTTTTTTATGATTTTTAATTTTTGAAAGAGTTTTTTAGACAACTTTTGCAACTTTAAGGTTAATTTTGCTAAATTTTAAAATTTTAGGTGCATGAGAGTAATCTTTTGTTCTTTACAAATTTTAAAATTTTTAGAATTTTAGGATTGTTTTTATAATTTAAACATTTGAGGGTGTTTCTATAATTTTTAGGACATTGATGGTGTTAATTAAAAATTTTAAATTCTTCGGAGGTTGCAGTTAATTTCTTAATTTCATTTTTTTATTTTTAAATTTTGAAATATAAGTAATTTTTAGGTGCATTATGGTAATCCTTTAAATTCATCTATGTTGTTTGCAAGTTTTAAAATTTTAGAATTTCATGTGCTTATTTGTAATTTAAACTTTTTAGGGTGTTTTCATATTTTTTGAGATATTGATATGCTAACCGCAAATTTTAAATTCTTCCCAAACTATTGTTAATTTCTTAATTTTATGTTTGTTATTTTAAGTTTTTAGACGTCAGGATAATTTTTATAATTTTAAACTTTTCAGGGTATTTTGTGCAAATTTAAACAATTTTAGGTTTTTTTGAAATATTTTATGTATTATAGTACATTAGCTACGTATAATTTCTTTATCTTAACAAACTAATACAATAAAGATGTTTTATATATTTTATTAATATTATTTTTTAAAATTGTTAAGCTATAGATAGTTCACGTAGAATTAGGATAGGATATAATTATGATTAGAATAGATTAAGATATAAATAAAATATTTAAAACAATAAAGGATAATATTGACCATAGAAAGATTTTCCCGAACTCGTACTTTTAAAGGGAGTATGATAGTTTCGTGATATCTCATTCTCACTTCATGTTTTGCATTACTTAATTGTATAGACATGCATTTGGGTTAATATATACATTGTTGATAGTTTTAATGTTTATGTATTTTGAATAATAATAATAATACATTTGACGTTGTCCCCTCTTTGTTTGTGATGGTTTTACATTTTAAATATTTTCTTTTAACTTCTTCATGTTGATGAATATTAAGAATTACATCTATAAACCTAAAAGGTGTCTTGTCCAAACACAGAGGGACAACACACTTCATTTTTAGTGGATTTGGACCATCTTTACCATCAAAAAAGTTTATAAAAGAGACAACTACTTTTAATTCAAATGTTAATTATTTACTAGATGGTTGTAGGTGAGAAAAATTGATTTCTCCGAAAAAGAAGGAGATTTGTATTAATAAGAATGACTTATTACAAATTAAGAAATCAAGTTACAATAGAAGCGAAGAGAAAATTCTTCTTGTTTAACGTGGGTTCTTCGGTAGCGGTAGGATGCCTCCCTCGAATGCTTGCGTCGAGTTTGCTTCCGTTGGATGATCCGATCGAAATTGCAATTGAGCTTCAGTATGCAGTAGAAGCTCTTGTGTGATTGAGTTCGATAATACCCGAGCTTGATGAGTATCAATGCCGAATGCTTAGAGAAGGCTAATATGCAAGAGTTTGCAAAAAACCAAGAGTATCAAATCGGAGAGTTCAGATTGAGTCCACTTTAACAACCCAGGCAAAAAAAGCTAGGAAAGTTCTACCAAGCAAGCTAGTGAAGACCTCTGTTGAAGAGCCTTGAGGGAGCCAAGAAGAAGGCAAAAGACTTAAGGAAAAATCCCCAAATGATCCAGCCTCTAGTTGAAGAGTCATGAAAATGTCAAGCTTCTTCACCCAATCGTATGCTGAGCCAATCCAACCCATTTCGCGTTGACAAAGGGGTCCTATAAATAGGCAAGGGATGACCCATGCATGGGTCATCCCTTGATTTGTAGGATGTGACCACTAATAGAAATAAGGAGTAGCATACTCCCTCTATAGCTATGGGATGTGACCACTATAGGAGTGATGGGAGCCATGCCTCATTACTCAGGACATGGGAAGTGAGTGGGCCCACTCCCACAAGTAAACAGTCGCTTGCACTATTTAGGCGAGGCTGATAAGCTTGCAGGCGAGCTTGAGAGCTGCTTGAACTTTCAAACGAGCTTGCAGGCAAGCTTGGCGAACGATCGGGGTCGACCTGCGATGAGTTCTCCCGCATGAACTCAGCTTGTCAACGAACGCCAGCTCACACGCTCGAGGGAGGACCTCTGCGTTTTGATGTAAAGAGACCATCAATTTATTGTCTCTTTTGCTAGAGCGTTTGCAAAGATCATCATCTTGTAATCTTCGTCTTGACTCCTTAAAAATATGAGAATCATCAGCTGATTGTAGCTCCCGATATTGATTGTGAAGGTTGTTGAATTAGACCTTTCATCAGTTGTTGTGAAGGTCGTCAGATTGTAACCTTCATCGATTTACGTGAAAGTTTTATAATTATAGCATTCTAGAAGCCGTCAAATTATAACTTCCATCATCGGTGTTTGATGGGGATCATCTATCTGCAGTAATTTTTAGAGAGCCTTCAATTCTCATGTTGCTTCTGTAAGTCCAAAATCCTCTACATTGCTTTTTGCAGATTTGTGTCATAGAAGACTTTGTCATGTGTCTCATAAAAGGCTGGAAAGTCTTATCCAGTCCGAAGTACTTGGTCCTGTATCCTCTTGTTCTCATATTAAGTCATGCACTGGTTGTAAATTGGCTAAATTCACTGTTCTACCGTTTTCAACCAATACAAAAAATCTATTTCCACTTTATTATTTGATTTGGTCCATTTTGATATCTAGGGGCCAACTCCTCTGTCTTCTTCATCTAGCTACTTATATTATGTTAGTTTTATCGATGATTTCTCTCGTTATACATGTCTCTACCTCCTTAAAAATCGCTCTGACGTACTTGCTACTTATCAAGCCTTCACTGTGGTGATCTTCACTTAAGGACAAGCTCGTATTAAAAATCGCTCTGACGTATTTCTTTTTCGTCTCCTACTCCTCTATACTGTGATAATAAGAATGTCATCCAGTTTGCTAATAATTCAGTATTTCATGAGAGAACCAAATACATTGAGATCGACGCTTATTTTATCCGTCAACAAGTTATCATAGATAAGACAATTCTATTTCCTCATGTATCATCCGCCGACGAGCTTGCAGATTTCTTCACAAAGGCCTTACATGTTCATCGGTTCCAGTTTCTTGTACGCAAACTCACTTTGTTTGATCCAACATGAGTTTGAGGGGGGCTGTTGATAATAGTGTTAGTAGTGAGTTTTAGTCCCACATTGGTTGTGAGAACACACCTCACCCTCCTCTACTTGTATAAATATATGTGTACACTCAATATTCAACTTAAAGGAAAATTTACTCAAGACTCTCTCTCTCTTACTTTAACAATTAAGAAATGCACAAGTTTGTTCCATGGTGCATATGTGGCTTCTAAAGATTGATGATGATAATCACGGGTTAATGCTTTACTCTAGCATGGGCAATTAGTTATTGATAATCCCAAAATGTTAAGGAAAAGAAAAGGAGTCAGCATTCCAGTAATTAACAATATCGAGTGAAAATAATTATTCAGTTGTCAGACGCATCAAGAAATCCACACAATACATGTGGATCATTAGATGACTAGCTCAAGATTTCAAAATTTCCATTTGTGTTTTAGGAACGACAGCAATCAAAGATTACCAAGGTGGAGAAAGAATATAGATGTTAGAAATATATTTAACTCTCGATTGAAGAAAAAAGTGTCTAAGTTTTTCTTAGAATATTGCAAGTAAAACACTAAATTTTACTTGGAATGCTAAAGAGCAAACGAGGTCAGAGTGTTGCTCCATAGTGCATATGCGTATTATTGACGCAACATATGTCTAGATTAGTACAATTCATATCATCAACATGATCAAATCATAGTCGATGCAATAAACCGTCAACATGAAGTAGCGTGTCTCGTCTACTCATACAGACCCTAGGATAAATTGCATTTAGCTCCACTTATCTATGCCTCTAACAGCACTTAACAGTTAACACACTTCAACTATTTTATTAGTGTTCAGTCCCTGAAATGAGTATATGGAGTGCTTAGTGCTAATAAATTAGTTGAGCGATCTTAAAATGATGCTAAAGTTTAAAAGAGGTCATTATGTGCAATTTACCCTAACTTCAATTACTAAAAAGATGATTCCCTATCTTATCATTAATAAATCATTACTTATGCAGATATATGTATATTTTCATTATCATCACTAATCTACCAACATCAAAAATGTTTAACCCTCGCCTTTCTTCTCTTTTCCAACACCCCCTTTCTCTTCAATGCCCTTAGGGTTTAATCCCCACTATAAATATTGGTAACTTCCAATGTACACAGGTAATGCATTTTTATACTCTACTTTTCTTTTCAAGATTGTCAAACCAGTCGCTGACTTGAGCGTCAGATGGCACGCTGAAGACAACAACTTCCGGGACTCTAACCTCTATTATTTTGTGTAGGTAATTGCGGCTCATTTTCTCCTTCAACACAATCAATCATCAGAGGAGAATAAAGTACCTTAAAATCATCCTTACATCGTCTAAACCTCACATTAACTTCTAGACAACACTACTCATGCCAACCCTAGGGGCTTGTTTGGATTGAGGGGAATGAGGGTGAAGGGAAGTTAGGGGAACCATTCACCTCCATTCACCTTGTTTGGGAACACTTAGGAGGTGAAGTTAATTCACCCTAGTTCCCCTTGGTTCACCCCCTAATAGTATAAAATTTGTTACCCCCCAAATTGGGGTGTAACCAAGGGGAAGAAAATTTCCTTTCCTTCCCTTTCCTTCCCTTCACTCAGTTTCCCTTAACTTC